TAGAAATGGTTGAATCATCATATTGTATACCTGAAGCTAATACTGTATATTAATTATATTTCAATAAAAAAAGTAAAAAAAAGAATAAACAAACATGAAACCATGCCAATTTATAGATCAATGGAATGAGTTAGAACTCAAAAGAGGATGTTTTTCTTTTTCTTTTTAAAATTTTTATTTATTTATTTATGATAGTCACAGAGAGAGAGAGAGAGAGAGAGAGAGAGAGAGAGAGGCAGAGACACAGGCAGAGGGAGAAGCAGGCTCCATGCACCGGGAGCCCAATGTGGGATTTGATCCCGGGTCTCCAGGATCGCGCCCTGGGCCAAAGGCAGGCGCTAAACCGCTGCGCCACCCAGGGATTCCAAGAGAATGTTTTTCATAGAATCATATGGATCAACACTGTCCAATAGAAATATAATACAAACTACAAATATAAGTTTTTGATAACCACATCAAAAGGGGTAAAATTAATTTATATTTTATTTAACCCCAAATATTCTAAATACTATTTCCACATGTCATCGGTATTACAAAATTTTTAATAAGATATTTCACTTTTTTTTTTTAACAACAGAAATTTATTTTCTTACAGTTAAAGCTGGAAGCCTCAGTTCAGGGTGTCAGCAGAGTTGGTTTATCCTGAGGCCTCTCTCTTTGGTTTGCAGATGGCCACATTCTCTCTGTGAGCACATCCCTGGTATCATTCTCTCATTTTATAAAGACACTAGTCCCATTGGAATAGGTCCCCAATTGACTAGGACCTCACTTAATCTTGATTATCTCCTTAAAACCCTTATCTTCAAATACAGTTACACTGGGGGGGTTAAGGCTTCCACATATTGATTGGGGCAGGAACACAACCCAGCCCGTAACACCAAAGTTTGCTGTACCGTGTCTAAGAGAGTATAAGGTCTAGAGTGGTGGTTCTCAAAACGGTCTAACGGTCTAACGGTCAGCATCACCTGGGAACGTATTAGAAATACTAATTTGGGGGGGTCTGCCCCACATCTAATGAATCACAAACTCAGGATGCGGCCCCAACAACTTGTTTCAACAAACCTTCCAGATGATTTTGATACAGACTAAAGCTTGAATACTACTTGGTCCTATATCCTAGTGAATGTGATGTGGTAGAAAAAGGTATTGAAAAAAAATCTTCATAGCAGCCACGGAAGGGATGATATCATGAAATCTGTTTTATATATGAAGAGACAGAGGTACAGTTCCATAACTGAGTTGCCCAAGGCCATACATTACTGCACCATAGAGGCAGCAGTAGGACCCAGGTCTGATTTAGCGCCAAGACGGTCAACTCTTCCTACCAATCTCCTCTGATACATACAATTCTACAAATCACAATAGTGGTCTCCATAGGGCAGCTCTTTTGACAGTTTTGAATGTGACCAAGCCCATTTACACATCAATTATCAATCAAATTATTACTTTTTTCCAAACAAAAATTTCTATCTAGCCATGACTTCATGATCAAAATAGTAATTAATAAACAGAGCACAAGTCATTAAAATTAATTTAGGACTTCATGTTTATAGTTGAGAATTGGATGCAGAGAAATTTGACTACATCCTTAGAACACTGTGGAAGAAATCAATGAACATAAATTTAGCATACTGAGTCTTTGAAATCCTGCATGCATTTTCTCCTAAAACACATCTCAATATGGACTAGCTGCATTTCTAATGCTCCATGGCCACATTTGACTAGAGGCTACCATATTGCATAGTACAGACAGAAAGGGCTAGGAGTTAGAGACAGTGTAGTTTTAATCCATCTAACTACTATTATTATTTTTAAATTCTAATTATTTTTTAGTGGGAAACCAAGGTCTAAGAAATTCGGAACCTTACCTATGGCAAAGTCAGGATGAATACTTGGATTCTGGCACAGTGCTTTTCCCACAGTTCACACTTTTAAGCGGAATGCAAATTCACCTCCACCAAGGAGTACCATCTCCCTTCCTGTTGTTTTCCCACACACCACCATCTAAGCTTGTTCTGAGATACATATGACTGCTCACATGGTTTTCCCTTCTGCCACTCAACTGGGTGCTTCTCCCACAGAGCTCCAAAGTAGGTACTCCACTGACCATCAGTGGCAACTTACTCTATAATTAGGAATAGTATTTTATTTTACTCTTTGGTGTGAACAAGCTCTGACTATGAGCTCTTTCCGGTTTTTCTTATCTGCTGTGCTGTGCTGCCTGTTTAAATCAGAATGTTCTCTGAGCACATACTGGGAAAAGGTTAGAACTGAGCCATATTTTGGGGGGTTTGTTATACTTATTTAACCTCACCTATTTTTTTCACGTTGGTCGTGTATTTGAGTCATTGTATCTCCACAAGGAATACAATAAAAGTAAACTCTTTAACTCTTGAGGAAGGGAAAAAACAAAAAACAAGACAGAATTTAGCAAAGCTCTCCTCTGGCCTCTTTAAAGTCCAGCAGCCTCAGGCTATAACTAATTGAATGACCTCATCAGATTTTTATAGCCTAATAATGAAAAGCCTAAGAGATAAGATTAGGGACTCAATCCATGAATCACTCCCCCTTTTTCCTGGGAAAGCTTCACAGAGGTGATGAGTTTATTCTTGGTCTTCTACAGCTGCAGTGGGACCCTCAAGCGGATGGTGCTTGCCACCCACTTCCCTTCAGGGGCCCTGTGAACCTAACTCGATCGCATTAAGCCCCTACTGGGCAATAACTCTGTTTTCTAGCATATGTTTTAAAAGGTTCTGGGCCCATTATCAATTTACAGAGGAGAACAGAGGCTGTTGTTAGATTTGATTAGTGTTAACCAACTCTTGTGATAGCTCAAAACATTATTTTGTGAAACAGAAAACGTCCCTTTTCTTCCCTCATTCTTCTATTGTTGCAATTACATGAATTTCCTTCAGTTCTGGTCAAAATTCTACTATAATTACGAATAATTATAAAATTATGATTCCAATGGAAAACTATTTTGTAGCACTGGTGCATGTGGAAATAACTCGTGACCACTGAAGCAGAAGGACTCCAGAGTTAGTATTTTAAAAATCCTGAGCCAGCTGGCTGCTGGTTCAAAAGCTGGCATTAGCTGTGGTGACGGCCCACCCTCGACTCCCCATGGATGGCCTAGGGTCAGGTGCACACTCACCAACAGAATAAAGATTTGCTTGCTTTTCACCTGGAATTTGTAAAGGGAGGTGATACCCTCTGGCTACTATGATGAAATTCAGCCAAACCTCCCCACTGCTGGGTGCTTTGCTTACATCCGTTTCAGGGTGGAGCCTCAAGGTGGGAGGAAGTGACTGCCTCAGAAATCCAGGGACCAAGAGGAGGGCCATGTTACTACAGAAGTGTCTCAGCTTCTGTCCTGCTGTATATCTGGGAATCTCTCTCTCCCTGAACGAGTTTCACTTTTTATTATTATTATTTTTAATCCCGAGTATAAACTTGATAGTTTCCTATTCTTAATTTTCAGGTACGACGTAGACTGTTTTATATTTCTCACTTCAAAACCAGACGAAATTAAATTGCTTTTGAGTTGCATCATGGACTTCTATTTCCTGAGACCAGTGTCCTCAATATAAACAGCGCTTTCTACCCTTTCTCCATTGTACAGGATTAAACAACAACAATGAGGACAACAGACTTTCACAGTTAATTTGGGAATCCTCTCTTCCTATCTCTGACCCCACTCTCCTATAATTCCAGGAAGAAGGTACAATTTCTTACCAAGTTGTATGCCAGAAAAGAGAAAAAGAAGAAAAACTGCAGAGAACAACCTATAAAATGGATTGGGGGTCCCCAAATGATTTTACGATTTTTTATTGTTAGCATTCTGTTTCTTCTTTAGTCTACGCTGTTGAAATGACCCTCCAGTTTCAAGAGATTTCCACATCATTAGATGCATAAACAACTGGAGGGGAGGTGTTGTGTTGGAAAGGTATCTAGACAGAGGAGGCACAAGCCCTGCTGCATTAACTGCCTGCTGCATAATCGTGGGCAAATCAATTAAATTCCATGAAGGGGAGTTTCTTAATAAAGTATTGTTATCTGCCCTCCCAAACTTATAAGGATCAAATAAAGTGATAAATGTAAAACTGGTCTGTAACTTGACAGTAATAATGATAGAGAATTGCTATCTTTATTATTATTTTTAAATACCTCCTATGTGCCCGGTACCATTTGACATGCTTTGTATGAAAACTTACTTAATCCTTACATTAAAGTTATTAGGTAGATACTGTTATCTACCCTTATTTCACATATGGAGATGAAAGCAAACAGGTTAAAGAAGTTGTCCACAATTTTAAAGGTAAGAACTGGGAGAGCCCTGATCCAAACCCAGGCAGTCAAGCTCCATGCTTTGTTGTCTTCTGATATAAATCTAAACTTTAAAATTATGTAATCTCAGAATAAAACTGGGAAAACTTGACAGCATGCAGTGCAAAGCTCATTTCTCTATGGGGAAGTCTTTACTGAACAGTAAGAATAGCTGGTAGAGCCTGAAGAAAATCAGTTAAACAGCTGAGTCCAGCAAGAGATGATGGTCCTTCTTACACATGGACAGAATAGTCCTGAAAACCAACAAGGTATTTAAATGTAAAATTACCCTTTCAGACATAACAAAAAAGAGGACATTACTATTGTGGGTAGCCAGGCAAAACCCCTGAAATATGCCTCATTAACATATCACATAGATCTATTTATATTGTGTTTAGATAAACATTTATTGTTTATTAAAAATTTTTTTTAGATAAACATTTATTGAAACTATTCATGTGACCATAATTTTGCAATTAAGCCAGTGAATATACTCAAGGCCAGTATAGGCTAAAACTGGGGTAGAAAAATATAAACTGTTGTGCAATTTCTCTTTCATCTCTCCTCTAGGTGGATCACTTTGGCTCATAGATACTGACCACTGACTTTGGTTAACCATGGCGGCAGTGGGAGGTGGGGAGGGGGGGCAGAAAGTTTAGATCATCCACCCATACCTGCTACCCGGAGAAAACCTATTGGCTTCTTTTTCTTTTTCTTTCCATTTCTTTCCTTTGTTGGAATTCCTTCGCAAAGGTGCCCTATAATGACAACACACAGTTAGAAAGGGGAAAATGATATTTTTCTCTTTTAATCCTTTTCTTTTATAGAGGGCTTATTTTTTACATCATGTAATGCTTACCCCAGATCCACAAACTTGCGCTTAATTTTTCCTCCTTGCACCACCAATGAACTGGATGCCCTTAGTGATCTGGGACCCTTGGCACCATCTAGGGTATACACACATGTGAAAAAGACCAATTATTATTCTTTTTAAAGCCATGAATCAAAAGTCAGTGCATCTCTGAATCTAAGGACTTTATCTCAATTCCAGAGTGTAAAAGAAAATAATGGATGCCTTTTTTTTTTTTAAGCCACAGGAAACACAGATATGTTGAGGAACATTCAGTTAAGCCAGGAGAGGTCCTGCTGAAGAGAGCCCCCAAACTCATCACAAACAGTTTTAGCTTCAAATATACCGGAATGAGCAAAATAAGCAAGAATAAACACTATCAAATAATTCTTTACATTCAAAGCAGGGACCGACGTGACTTTCCTTTTGTTCCTTCTCTGGCTCCAACTCTTTGTTTCAAATGCCCAGGCTCTGTCCTCCACACCTGTCCTCCCTTTGGGCTTTGGTGCCTTCTGACAGGAACCCAGCCCACTTCCCCCGTACCTCCCAAGTCCAGTAGAGAAAGTCACCCCTGAGTGTCTGGAGATTTAGGGGAGAAAGTGAGAGTCAAAGCTTTCTCTTCTGGTCTCTCCTTTGCTAATGGCCTGTGGCCAGTCCTGGGACAGAGGAGGGCAGAGCATGGAGAAGACTTCTTAAGCTGGGGCTCAGCTATAAAACATATCTTTGAAAGGCTCCTCTCAGAAGTTGGGTTGGAATACAACTTGGCTGGCCTTCTGTGATGTGGAAGATGCCAAAATTTCCCGTGTCTGGAGCTGATTGATCTTTGCCTCTTTGAGTTACACTGGTTCTCAAGGGCAGCAGCTGCTGGGGGATGGGAACACTCAAAATGATACCAAAAAGACCAATCAGAGGAGAGACTTTGAGAATGGAGTTCAATGTCAAATGTAGGAGCTAGATTCCACGGGTAGCACTTAATTCCTCCCTGGACATGGTAGATAATTCCTAAGGCTCTACCTGGAACTATTTTGCAAAGGATGTTTTCCAGTGTTATGTTTCAGCATATCCAGTTATCTGAGATGATTAACAAAGGGTGTTTTAAATTTGATGCATATTTGTGCACGAAACTACTTCCTAATAGTCTGTTGGTGTCTGTCTCCATCTTTGTAAAATTAAAAATATTCCAGCAACTTTCTGGCATGGAATGAAGAGAGAATAGTGCTCCTACAGAAGTGTTTAATTAACCTTACTAATTAACTTTGCTTGTAATTGTATTTCAGGATAAACTTCTAAATACACACACAAAACATGAAGTGCACACACAATTCTTATTTAGGAGTTTATGTTCAAAGCTCTGAAGAAGCAGCACAGGATGTTTACAAACTCTCTAAGGATTTTTAGCAATGGACTCTTCAGAGTTTTAGTTAATGACACTCGGATTACAATAATCAATCCCTTGGAATGTACATAATGAAATACAAGAGTCAGAAATACATCCATGTCAAAATCTACTTCTAACCTCAGATATTTATTATGGATATTTGCATCATTATGCTGGGTAACTGAATTAAATAGTCACAGATGTGAGGCATACACATAAAGAAAATCCACAGACATGGCACAAACGCCTTCTGAGGTGATTTTGCTAATGGACATTAAAAAAAAAGAAAAAAAGAAGCAGGATTTCGATTTTCTTAATAGAACACGAAGAAAAAGTGCCGGATTCCTCCAAATCAATCCTAAAGCAACTCTTAATGGCTAGGACTGTGCAAAGTTTAAAAGGAGACTGCCTAATTATTTTCTGAATTAGAGGTAGTGAGGCAATGTTTTAATGAGTGGTGAGAGGACCAGATGAGACAATGTACATGGAAACACTGTGTAACCTCTTAGTGTCTCAGTAATTTGGACTTCTTCGGACTGAAAGCCTGATTCTGTCCATTACAGAGCCTGCTGCTAGGCAACCTCACATCATTATCTCACACATTTGCCAAAGTGTGTTCCAAGGAACACTTAAATGAATGCTTTCAAAAGGCTGAAGAGGCAAGATTAAGTAATGATGCACTTCCCTATTTTAAATCAATCAAATCCATCCTTAATGCACATTAGAACTTCCAGTCTGCACAAAAACCAACAATGGATTGGTATGATTTTAGGAAAAGAAAAAAAAGTGACTTGTTTTTGTTTATTTATTTAGCTTTATGCAAAATTTCCATGGGGCTCTTTGAAATCTCTCCAACACTACCTTCGGGAGCAGTCAGAAGTTGGAGCCCTTGGGTTGGGTGCGGCAGCTTCCAGCTTTGGCAACCTGGCCCTCAGTCTGAAAGGCAGCGAATGGTCTCCTGACGGCTACGTGTGCTGGCTTCTTCCAGTACTGCATTCTCCTTCCTTTCAGGGGCTCCAGACTCTTGACCTCTTCCTTTCCTTTGGGGCCTTCCAACTCTGCCCCTAGCCCAGCTTCTCTCCTGAGCTCATGACCTTCTTCATTAAAAACCTGAGCTAATTGTCTTCACCCCATGATACTTCTGACTTCTCAGTTTCTACAAATGACAGGGGCCATATTTCCTGAGGCTAGAGACGCCATGGTCAGTGTTGACCTCCTCACTTTCTTCCCCTGTATTGAGGCAGCAGAAATTTCATGGGCTCCTGTGTTGCTCTTTCCCTCATTGGCTACTGCTCCTTCGAGGTCATCCTTCCCTGTGTCTCCTGACTCATCTTGCCCACATCTCTTGTTTTTTCCTTTTTATTCCTCTGATCAAACATCTGGAGTTGCCTGGTAATATGGTGAGGTATCTAAGGCACTTAAATTTTAGAGCTAATGACTTAACCTTCTTTTCCATTTTATTGAAACCATTTAACCTGCATTAGCCAATTGCTTCAGGCAGGCTGGGCAGCCCCATTCCTTTCAACCCATCTCATGTGTAGCCCATCCCTGCTAATGCCAGCTCCATGCCTGATCTGCCTTCCTTGGCCACCCTTCTTCCCCTCAAATCCTTCAATGGTCACTTGAACTGTACATTCTTTGTCGTCTTTATTTACCAATTTCAGCTGGATATAACCTCTCCCCTCCTCTGAACAATGCTAAAATTTATTATTTCTACACATATAAGGGCTTGATGCAATACATCTGTAAAGATTTTGCAAAGCCAGGTTCTACTTGCCAGGATATTAATTCCTGAAGCATGGTCTGTGTCAGACAATAGGTGCTAATAGCCACATGTAAACTTAGAATAATCATCTCTAGAGATCACAATTAGAAAACTGATAGTGCTTATAGTGCTTAATTCACTCTTCCTAACCTTGTCTGGACAAAGGCCTACTGCTATGGAATTCTAGGACCAAAACATTTATTAGGCTACTCAAAGAACAAGCATGAGAAAAATATTTTCATGCCTTCTACTGTCATATGACTTGTTTTACAAATCTCTGGGAATAATCTTACATGTCCTCTTACTTTAACTGAAATGGGGTTAGATGTTTATCACTTATCCAGTTACAATGGGACTCTTTCTACCCTACTTTCCACTGAGTCCCTCAACTATGACAACAAAATGAGGATTCAAGAATGTGGTATTGATGCAATTTAGAAAACACCCAACTTCAATTAGTTGTTCAATAATACCAGCACGTTGTTAGCCTTGAAATTGCAGTCAAATACAGCTTGTTACTTAATTATTATCTTGTAGTAATGTAATAGACCAAAAATAATAGTATATTACTTAAAAACATCCAAATAAATGGCAACCAGGGACTAAGACATTTTCAGAATTTTTCCAGCAATGATGTGTAGAAGGAAATAAACACCTAGGCCAGGGATCAGAAAGCTTTTTCTATAAAGGGTCAGACAGCAAATATTTTAGGTTTCTGGGCTATACAATTTCTGTCACATCTCCTCAACTCTGCTTATTGTGGCATGAGAGTAGACAGTGTATAGCTAAATGAGTATGGCTGTGCTCCAATAAGACTTTATTTTTAAAAACACGTGGGGGCCAGATTTGGTTTGATGACCTACATTGGTTATCTGGAGAGACATGCCTGGTAATTTATCCAAGAAACTTCTGAAGCATCAATTATATGCCATACTCTTTGCTGGGGAGCAAGAATATAAAGATGAAAGAGATAAATGAGAAAACTGGTTCATTCTTGACAACTAAATCACTTATCATGCACAAAGTGATAGAAACAGAAGTAACAATGTAAAACTTTCTGTGGGACCGAAAGAAGAGAAGAGAAGAGAAGAGAAGAGAAGAGAAGAGAAGAGAAGAGAAGAGAAGAGAAGAATTCACTCTCCCTGGGAATGTGGAGAGTGTATTAAGAGTCCACTAAAGGAGGTGAGGTTTGATCTGGGTTTGGAGAAAAACACAATTTCCCTGGAGTTCAGTGTTAGGCAAGAACATAAACATGAGGTCTTGCTGAACCTCATTCTAGTTCCTTTACCGATAAGCCAATGAGTTATAAGAACCTCACACGCGAACACACACACCAACACACGGAGGGAAATAAGGTTAACTAAACCTGACCTCTGTTGAGCACAGCTCTTAATAGATAAGTCCCACATAGTCAGGGACTCAAGAATTTTACAGAATGTTATTCCTCAAATTGGATTTTGAGGATAATGAAGGTAGATCCAGCTATGTTAATCCATATTGTATCGGCCCCTACAGTGTCATAACATTTTAATGATACTGAGGTCCATTTCTTGCGAAGTAGGGAGGGAGAATCTTTGAGGAACACAAAAGTGCCCAAGTGCCAGTGGTGGTGCAGTGAAATGGGCCATTTGTTAGTCAGACCAGCATAAAGACCATACTGCATATACACATCGGTAACTTTAATTTTACACTCACTGAGCAACTTTCTGATTTAGAAAACAACCAGAGGAGCGAGAAGAGAACATATTAAGGAGGTTGGTTATTATGTCAGCTGTACCTCCCAAAGTACATCAGAAAATTAGTATTCTGGTTTCGAAATTAGTATTTTCTCAGTTAGAACAGCAAGAACCACCCATTCTGAACTTGATAAAATCTGAATGTATTATTTAGTTTCTGGATGTAGAAAACCAAAAACTAGACCTTTGACTTTCAAGGTACCTACTGGTAACAGGAT